TGGAACTGCCTTCTTTGTATCTGTGTCTCCCTGCTTATCAACCTGAACTGTGTCTTCTACCCTCTTACACATATGCCTTGCCTAAATCACCACTCAAAGCTCCTTCCTGCCTCTGTCTTTGCCTTTGCCTTTGCCTTTGTTCTGGGGCTAGATATGTATTTGTACTTAGGGGTATGAAGACTGCTATTATTTTTGTGATTTGTTTCCATCAAGAAGCTTTATGGCTCCTCACATCCTTCTGAAATGAAGGAAGATGGTTACATCCAACAGTGTGCATTTAACTGAACTGATACATTTATTTATCATTTGTTTTGTGATAGTGCTTTGGAGTCCCAGACTTAGATTGGGACCCCAAGCTGGAAGAGCTGTACAAACACAGCAAAAAAGAGATTTTCTCCCCCATGACTTCCAAAAGTTGTCTCCCTCCACTTGAATACTTTTTGCTTTTTAACATAACACCAGACCTGCTTTGTAAAAATCCTGCTTATTCCAACTGCTAAAATGCATTCTGAGATGCTGAAAACATATTAAGTGCTTTCCTTGTATTACATTATTGCCTGATCAAGTGCAGTAAAGGTGCTGTAGGCATGTTTTATCAATCATTATGTAAAGAAGAGAGGGGCTTTATGTGGTTGAGGAAGGCAGAGGAGTTAGTTCATGATATCCATTGGGATATGGTTAGCCCGTGAGCTCCATTTCACATTTCTGTTGGTTAACAACAATGATTAGAGGTCTAGGAAATGTGACAGATGAAGACAGGTTGGAAGAACAGGGATTATTTAGTGTAGAAAAGAGAAAACTATGGGGGAAACTTGCTAACAATTTCCAAATACAAATAGACTTGTTATAAAGAGGAAGGAAATCAGCTATTCTTTATCTGCAGATAGGACGAGAAGTCTTGGGCTTAAATTGCAACCAGAGGAATTCATGTTAGATGTGAGGAAGAAACACTAGAATAGATTCCCTAGAGCAGGGCACAGCAGTGTTTTCGCAGGAAAGGGCCATTTTAATGGAGCTTAGCTCTAACCATGGGGTTGCTTCCAACTCAGCCTGCAGTGGTGCTGGAGCCAGTGGGAGCTGCTGCCACCACTACTTCTCCCCACTGCCTGAATACCACATAGGAGAAGATCCCTGCTGCTGAAACTCAGCACAATTCCCTTCCCAATCTCCCCAGCCCAGTTCCAGGGGCTGGGTAAAATAGCTTTGCAGGATGGATCCAGCCCACAGGGCAAATGTTACCAACCTTTACCTTAGAGAGGGTGTGGAATCTCCATCTCTGGAAATTGTTTAAGTGCTAAACAAAATTTGTTTGGGTTGGTTTAGATAGGGTTGGTCCTGCCTGGAGCAGGAAACAAGATAACCTAGATGGATAAATATGATACGCTGGGGAAGAGTCAGCATGGTTTTTGTAAAAGCAAATCCTGTCTTATGAATCTGCTGGAGTTCTTTGAGGATGTTAACAGGGGTGTACTTGGTAGCCGTGTTGGTCTGAGACAAAAGACCATTTTCTTGCAATTTTCCAGTTGGTCTAATGAAAGGTGTCATTTTGGAACCAAGAGTTCTAGTTTTTTGTATGTCTTGAGGATGTTAACAAATACATGGACAAGGGGGATTCAAGTGATATAATTTACTGGGATTTTTAAAAAGTTTTTGATAAAGGCTCTGAACAAAGATTTTTTTAAAACACTGATTTGCCATGGGATTAGAAGGAAGGTATATTTTGTGGATTGACAGCTGGTTAAAAAATAAGAAACAAAAGGTTGGGCTAAATGGGCATTTTTCAGGATGGAGAAAGGTCAATAGTGAGATCCCTTAGGCATCTGTGCTGAGCCCAGTTTTGTTCAATGTTTTTACATATGACCTGGAAAGGGGAGTGCACTTTAAATCCCAAAGTTCCCAAAGACAATACTAAATTATTCTGTGTCCTCAGATCCCAAGCAGATGGTGAAGAGCTGTAGAAAGATCTCCCAAACGTGACTGAGGGGACAAAAAATGACAGATGAACTTCAACGTTAACAAGTGCAAAATAGCTCATGTGAGGAAAACTAACCTCAGCTATACATATACAGTGCTGGACTCTGAACTGGCCATTGCAACTCAGGAAAGAGACCTTGGAGTCATTCTGGATCAGTCTCTAAAAACAGTGGCAACCCAAAAAGCCAATAAAATGATCAATGGTAGGGAGTATCTGCTATGCCAGGAAAAACTAAAAAAGCCAGGACTCTTCAGTTTGGAAAGGAGAAGGCTAAGGGAGGATATGCTAGAGGTCCATAAAATTAGGCAGGGTGTAGATACAGTGAATGCCAAACTGTGATTCACCAAGTTCCAGAATAAAAAAACACGGGGAAACCCACTGATATTAGCAGAAGGCAAGATTAAAACAAACCAAAAGAAGTACTGTTTTTACAACTTGTGGTATTTGTTGCTACAGGAGGTTGTAGAGGCAGATAGTATAACCAAATTCAAAAAGGGATTAGACAAATGAATGGAGGACAGGTCCACATTAAATAGAACGGTCAGGAATGTATCCTTTGACATCCATAAACCAGTGATGGTTGATGCCAAGGAGAGTATGGCAGGGGGATAGATCACTTTAAGCATGTCCTGTTCATATACTTTCCCTCTGAAGTATCTACTACTTGCCACTGTTGGAGACAGGAAATGGGCTAGATGGACTATTGGTATTACCCATTGTGGCACTTCTTACGTTTCTGAGGGCTCTTTCAGCCCTATTTTTCTAAGGTTCTATAAAATGGTTGAGTTCCTAGTATGGCATGAGACCGTCTTAAAAGCCTTGTGTCATAAAAGGTTGGTATTAGCCTCCAGCTTAAGTCAGAAGCAGACTGGACTTTATGACTTATAAGCATGCTACCAAATAATGGTTTAAAGGGGAGAGATGATAGTCTTCCCCAAAAAGCTATGTTCTCATTCTCTGCTCCTGCTCCCCTCTCAGTCTGCCTGTATCCTCATGCTGTCTCTTACCTTATACTTAGATTGGAAGTTCTTAGGGCAGGTATAATCTTTTTTTTTAATGTATTTGTAGAGTGCTCAGCACAACTGGAGCCTCATCTGAAGTTCCTACTACTACTACTACTACTACTACTACTACTACTACATTAGTGGGATACTTGGAAAAGGGGTGAACAAGGCTTTTCTACTGCTATGATTTACCATCTGCCAGAGTTAATTTGTTATTATATATGACTCCTTAATGCTACTGAGTCATCACTATTAAGATGCTGTAAGATTAATTAAATGTCAGGCTACCTAGAGCTGTATGGTTGGCAGTTGTTGATGGTTTACCATTGTTTAAACAGAAATAGTAAAAAATTAATGAAGCAATTTGTATTCCCACTATTTTTTTCCTCCACAAATCTCTTTTTTTTCTTTTAATAACCAATATCTGAAGCCTCCAACCATAGCACAAATTTAAAATATACTCACACAGGCAGAAAAAAAATACGTTCAGGTATCGTACAGCTGGTGCTGATTAACAGGTATACTTTGCACTTAGCGGGTTCACCTACATGTGTTCTTTACTGTAGAGCTGACTAATTAGCTCCACAGTAAAGTGTCACTATATACACATGTATCCATATTAGGGAAGATTAAATTAGCTCCGCTGTAGGATAGTACCGTCTGGAACAAGTACTATCCTACAGCGGAGTCATTTAGTGCACTAAAACATGTGTGTAGACGGTGACTGGGGTTGGCTGAGGCATGAGGGTGCTACAGTGTGGGGGTTGCCTGCTGGCTAGCCCCACACACCAACACCCTCATGCCTCAGTCAGCCCTGACACTACCCACCACTGCCACCCAGACCCCGGGGCTGACCCCCTGGAGCCTCTGCCAGCCCAGGGCTGCTCTGCCCCAGTTTGAATTGCTGTGATCCTGTTTGCGTAAACACTGTATCTGGGAGCATCTGACTCTGGTGCAAACTGTGGTAGAGTTTATTCAGTTGGCGTAATTGCACGTGTAGATGCACCTAGTGGGTAGTCGTCTGGCCTGGGACTCAGAATATTTGGGTTATATTCCCAGCCCTGGCAGTTGTATCCTGGGTGACCTTGGGAATGTCACTTCAGGGTTCTGTACCTCAGTTTCCCCAATAAATAGGGATAATGATTTTGACCCCACTCTGTAAAGTGCTTTGAGAGCTACTGATAGCACCATTTAACAAATATTTGCCATGAAACAGCCACTTTTATCTAAGGATTTCAAAGTGCTTCATGAACATTAGGACTCTGATTCTCCAAGCAGTAGTGTAACTAGGGGTAGGCAAGTGGGGCACCAGACCCAAGCATTGATTTAGAGGAGACACTAAATAGCAGCCCCCAGGGAACTCTCACGGCAGGGGGGCTGCTGCAGGAATCTGTCTCACAGGTGCAGCAGCCCAAGCCCATGTCACAGCGCCAGAGAGCAGTGAGCTTCTGCAGTAGCAAACAAGATGCTGTGCCCCGCACC